AAAGATTTATTTCATGAATACATGGTATGACCCAGGCACCACACTACTCCCAAGATAGATGAGTCAGGCCATTGTCTTCAACTTGTTTAAAATCTTTTGGGGATGGAGAGGGAGGCAGCCAGAGGTATAGCCATGTAAATAAAAAATTGCAATACAGAGGCCAGTGCCGTAGCGTAGTAGGCTAAGCCTCTGCAGTAGTGCCTGCAACTCATATAGGCACCACTTCGTATCCCAGCTACTCCTCTTCTGACCCAGCTCTCTGCTTATGGCCTGGGAAAACAGTAGAGGATGCACCTGTGTGGGAGACCCAGCAGAAACTCCTGGCTCCTACCCTCAGATTGGCCCCAATTCCAGCCATTGCAACCACTTGGGGAGTGAATCAGCGGACAGTAGACCTTTCTCTCTGTCTCTCCCCCCTCTATCTATAATTCTACCTCTTAAACAAATAAAATCTTTTTTTAAAAAAAGAAAATTTTAATACATATAAAATCATTTGCATATTATAATGTGATTACAGTATATATAAGATTATGTTATATTGATTACACAGGCACCAATTAATACAGGGTCACTAAAAGGGACTCCTGCTAAACTTTTGAGAGGGTCAATTCTTCTGCAAAGAAATCATGCCTGCACTGTTTCCTGAGCATAGCAGGTACATATGGAGAAGCAGATACCATAAACAGTCCGGGAAGACTGCATCAGTGGCACAAGGTGAGGTTTGAGAATAATACAGGAACCAGATCATAAACAGGCTATTAAGCCACATGAGTGTTTGACGTTTATCTTCAAGGGACTGGACTGTTCTAACGAGATGAGTGATAATGATCACAGCTGTACTTTGTCCATCCTAAACAGAGTATGGCAGTAATTCAAAATATCTTCTGGACACATGAATAAAGTGACATAAGTATAATAAAAATATTTCAGTAATTCAGAAAATAGAGAGATAAATGAATCAGGACTGGCTGTGATGTCCCACAAGTGTTTTATGGCAAGTTTTAATTGGGTTTTATTAAAATACAAAGTTTGATAGCTAAAAGAACAACACTCCAGGGACCAGTGCTGTGGTGCAGCAGGTTAACAACCTGGTCTGAAGCACTGGGATCCCATATGGCACCAGCTGCTCTTCTTCTGATCCAGCTCTCTGCTGTGGCCTGGGATAGCAGTAGATGATGGCCCAAGTCCTTGGGCCCCTGCACCCATGTGGGAGACCTGGAAAAGGCTCCTGGCTCCTGGCTTTGGATTGGTGCAGCTGCAGCCGTTGCGGCCATCTGGGGAGTTAACCAATGGATGGAAGACCTCTCTCTCTGTCTCTACCTCTCTCTATAACTCTTTCAAATAAATTAAAAAAAAAAAAAAACTTTTTAAAAAAACACTCCAGTCAGAGGCATGAAGGGTTCAAGAAAAATAATGACCTAAAATTGGGTAAGCAAAATTGTGCAGAAAATGAATTAATGGAAGAACAAATAGCTTCATTGGTGGGTACCAGGTCTGGAAAGGCAGGATGGCACAGGGGCAACAGCACCTTGAATGGCAGGCTCAGGATTTAGACTTTGCCAGTGAAAAGATGGTTTATGCAATTTTTCAAAGAAGAGAATACTTGGGAGCAGGCGCTGTGGCACAGCGGGTAAAGCTACTACCTGCAACACCAGCATCCCATATGGGCGTTGGTTTGAGTCCCGGCTGCTTCACTTCCAATTCAGCTCCCTGCTAATGGCCTGAGAAAGGCAGCAGAAGATGGCCCAAGTGTTTGGGCCCCTGCCACCCATGGGAGAGAACCTAGTTCCTGGCTTCAGTCTGGTTCAGCCCTAGCCATTGAAGCCATCTGGGACGTGAACCAAAAGATGAAAGATTCCTCTCTCTCCCCCTTCCCTCCCTTTCTCTCTCTCTCTCTCTCTCCCTCTCTTTCTTTCCTTCTCTCTGATGTTCAAATGATTAAAATCATTGAGAGAGAGAGAGGAAGAGAGAGAACTGTTGCTTTAGGAATACTTAAATTGTGAAAGGTTTAAAACAAGACTCTGGCAACCAAATAATAGTAGGCATGTGAAAGAAAAAAATATATAATGCAGGAGATGGGCTGCAAGATCATTTTTCAAAAGAGTTAGGAGGAAAGACAAACAAAAGTTGAAGGTTGAGTGAGTGTCAGCATGACACAAAGGTCACTTCTCACTTCCACCTACCACTCACTCCCACACATCCGGCACCCCACAAGCATTCCTTCAAGCCTGGTTGTCTGAATGGAGGCATTCCCAACAGCTTACTGGGAAAATCTGGAGAATGATGTTCTTTGCTTTTACAAGAATTTTTACCCAGTGTCTTATCATAAGAACTTGGAAGGAAGCTTTTGAGAAGACAATGTGAAGGAAAGGGAACATTTGGAGAATGAGAAAGGACTATCTGAACAAGCCAAAGGCGGCCATGGGGCCATTCTTAAATTCCCTAGATCGTTAACCCAGAGGTAGTCAGACATGGGGGCCCTGTGTATTCTAGGAACCCCAGTGAATAGATCAGGCCTCTACACACCCTTGGGGCCCCAGAGATCCACTTGGTTAAAAGGGTTCCCTCTTCTCTGTTGTTTGGGTTACCTGTTATACTTACTCTTTGTACCCTCAGCAGCTATAAGAAGAAAAAGGAAAACTGAATTGTTCTATTGTCTCAAGTTTGAACTTAGACCATTTTGGTTTCCCAAAGCAACAAGTTAATAAATAGTACCTAGGATTGCTTAAAAATATATTAGAAAAATCTTATAAAATTGCCTAACCTCCAGAGTTCAGTTAGTCTTTCACCTGAGAGAAGCAAAAGAACACTGTCCTTTGTAGGTACATCTTCTGGAACGTCCTTGAAATTTCTGGCCCATAAAAATAAATCTTATTTTCTTAACCTTTTTTAATGTAAGAAAAATCAAACAGAACATTGTTTATTCTACTCTGTTCCAAGTGAGGAAACGGAAGGTGCATTCTTTAAGGTATGGAGACACTAACAGCCTTAAATTTTACTCCACATTGTTTGATGACATATTGGACCATACATGAATGCTTTGGCTCAAGTCCACCAATTACCAGCAAATTAATGCATTCTTCTAGGTTGGCTTTTCATTTGTCATCATTTAACCCATGATTGTTGTTTTCATTAGGATATTTTAGAACATCAAATAGACGTTTATTAAAGCCTGATTACGTGGTAAGTTTTCCTTGACTGCCCTTTTGTTCCAAGACAATTATGGGCGTCTTCCTGTCTCTTTTTGATGCCCACAAAGGCCATTATGAGGGTGGTTAAATATGTAAACCTAAGAATGAGAAACAGGTATAACATACATATAATTTCCTATTGCAACATCCTATCTGTTAATAAACTGAGAATCATACTGCTAGTAAATGTACCAATTTGTTTAAATAATTTAGGCATGTTTTTCATTGTCTTTGCAAGAGTGGCTTGGGGGTCTTCTGCCCTTTTAAAATTCTACAACACTTCCAGTCCGCAAGATAAGGTGATCATTTACGTCAAAACAGCCAGTATGTGGGCTACAGATACGCAGCTTCAAGTCCCTCTGCATCTCAGCAAGCACATGACTACACCTACCCAGATGTACTGGAGTCAGCTCAGCTGTTTCCCTTACTTGAAAAGAAGAGAATGGAACTAGCCAGAAAAAACTTGGGAAGTTACTTGAATTTTTTCTGAAACATCAATATAATACATGGACACTGTAATTTTTTCAATGTATCCTTTCTCAGACATTAAATGAAATATAATACTATGATCAGAACCAGAACTCCAAACAGTTTACTATAGAACATGCATAAGAGGACTGCAAGACCCTTCCAGCTCAAAGAGAGATCACCTCTGATATCCCATGGACTACTGTACATTTTAATTGACATAAGATATCATTATATCTACCTATAACATTAGCCAAAAGAATTATCTGATTAAATTTTCCTGAACTGTATTCCAAAGTCAGATCCCTTGGGAAATGCCCAGTTTCCAAGAGTGGAGTACAGTTTGGAGTACTTCACAAACATCTGGGATGACAACACCTTTGTGTAACAAATTAACATTGCCCAAAGTGACAAACAATATGGAACATACTGCATTCTGCTATTCAACACCAGTTATCAATGGCTAAGGAGAAGAAGGGGGGAAATCAGAGCACTGAGTTAGGTGAGTTTTCCAAAGGGTGGTTTGGGTAGATTGAAGAAACCACAGTTGTCTACTTTGCAATTTCAAGAAATGTCCAATCATAGAACATTATGGAAATACTAAGAAATCTCTATCTTCCTGTTTTGAAATTTGACTTTTATGTCTACCCACAGATAGGATCCTTAATTGCTCCTAGACAGTCTGATTGCCCTTGAGTCCAAGGTATAGCCAAATGCCTAGATAACGCTAGGTATATGTAAGAGAATGTATTTTTTTCTTTGAATAATTACTAAAATCAAACACGTGACCTGACTGATGATCAAAAACTAACCCTCTAAACCCAGTCTGCCACAGACTTGGGCTCAACGCTGCCTCGGATTCCCCATCCAGACAAGAGGCCCTTCTGTCCTACACGCGTCAGGTAACGTATACGCGAGCCAGCAGGACATTATGTCTTGTTTTAAATAGCGGTTGTTACCCACCAGGGTTAGCTGTTAACCGGAATAGCACGCAATTTCTTCTTCTTGCTGACTTTGTAGGAAGCCTGGAAGCCACAATCTTTCAGGGAAGATTTAAGTACATGGCTCCTAGCTAAAAAGCTGTTTCAGTGGCTTCCCGCCCTCAACAACTTCATAAACTTTCCTCTAACAATCAACACCACAAGCGCCTGGCCTCTCCACTCACTAAGCATAAAACGCAAATTTTGTGAGATTCCATGAACACCAGTCCAGTCTGGTGAAAACCAAGCAACCAAGCGACAGGAAGCACCTGATTCAAGTCTTTCTCCTGCACTTGTCCCAAATAACAGCGATTCACAAACAAGAGGAACACCCACAGCGCAGCAAGGCCGCGGACCTTACCTGGTTAAAGTGCAGCGGGCCAGGCTCCGGGGCGCCCTCACCAGGGGCGGCTCCCAGCTCCTCCAGCAGGCGCCCAAGCTGCTCCGGCGACAGGCTCCCATTTGCGCCGAACAGGCTCAGCACATCCTCACTGAAGTCCAGCCCGGGCCCTTCGGCCGCCCCTCCAATGCCTGTGGCCGCCAGCAGCAGGAGGCTGGCCACTGCCTCTCCGGGAGCCATCCTGGCCGGGGCTGCCCCCCACCCCCGAGTTCCTGCTTCGGGCTGACGCGCACTGGGTCGTGCGCGGGCGCAGCGGGGGCCGAGCCCTAGGGCGCACGGGTCAGGCGGCGGTGCTTGTCGGAGTCAGCCGTGGCGCGGGGCACCCCTGGTCCTCCACCGCCTTCCACACAGCAGCAGCTCGCGACCTTCGGGGCATTGAAGTGACAGCGCGGCAGGGGAGTGATAGGCAGAGTGGGCCCACCCCCACCCTGGGGGCCTCCTGGAGAACCTGAGATAAAGGGGACAAAGGGGGACAGAGATAAAGGCCACTGGGCCACCAGCTGGCCAGTCCCAGGAGCACTGCCGGAGCCTTCGGACGGCGGACCGGGCATGGGGCCAGCTGCCCCGGAGCCGGGTTTGCAAAAGCCCCAGGATTTGCTTACTGTGTGATGACACGTGCTCCTCCCGGATGTGAAGCGGCAAGCCACGCCACTGCTTAGGAAGAGCTAAAAGCACACTAGGGGCAGCTCCCCGCCGCCCCTTCCTGTCTCCACACTGCGTTCCTTCCGCAGCACACTTAGGAGCAGGGAGACGCGCGGACTCCTAGCAGCTGCAGCAAGCGGCCCCTCGGGAGGCCGGGGGTTTGGGCGTCTGGATGAGACTCACCCCCTTGTCCCCGGATCTCTTTGGGCTTGGCAAGTGACTGGCAGGGACTCCCTAGCCTCTCACCTTTTCTGTTTCTGACTCTCCTCTGGTGCGGCTTTCTCTGTGGGTCTAACTGGGGTCAACAGCGCCCCCCACAACTTGCTTGCTCTTGCTCTTGCCCTTGCTCTCCCCCTCTCTGCCCCTCTCTTTCTCTCTCCTCTTTTTCCCCTCACCCTCCGTCTTTCTCTCTCTGCTCCTTTATCTCTTGCAAGTCCGCTGTGCAACTCCTGCGCCCGGCCCTTGCGCCCTTTGCAGATAAGGGGAGGAGGGCGGGTCCACGCCTCCGCAGCCTGTGGGGACACAGTACCCGGGGCGCACCAAGCCTGCCCCCTTTGGCCGCGCAGCTCCCTCCCAGCCTCAGCCGCTCACTTCCCACCATCACCACAAGGGTTACCTTCATGTCGGGGTCCCGAGCCCCCTTTGTGGATCTAGGTGAAGATCCGCCTTTTTGTTACCTTGCTGAGTCGAGCTTCCTGTATAGAGTCTGGTGCTGGTCCCATTATCTAAGAGATTAACAGGAACTGCCTTTTAGTCTGGCTTCTTAAAAATCAGAGAAAGAGGAAACCAAATCTGTGGCCTGGGGGCCAGCTAAGCTGACCCAGCACTGCCCAGGGAAGGCTTTTCCTGACCCCGCTCAGGATATCCGCTGATCAGAAGCAATGTTTATTTGTTCCAATGAGGGTTCAAGACAAGCTGGCTTAGGTGTGAGGTCAACAGGTTTATGTAATGCGAATGCAGTGTTTGGGAACAAAGGTTGTGTCTGGTAGATAAATTGTCCAAAAAAATAAAAAAAAAAAAATAGAACGGTGCTCTGCTTTCCATGGCTAAGGACAACTGGAATGCAAAGTGCTGTTCTTGACTTCTGTGGGGTGAGTACCCAGCCTTGCTACAGCAGCACATTGAAGAGACACTCAGTCCAGACACGGACACTGGAAAGAGGAAGTGGTCTCCTTCTCCCGGGAGGAATGTAAACGCCACAGAGATGAGGAGGGAAGATTCCAGAAGGATGGGATCTGGTTGGCACAACGGAGAAGTTAGACCCGGGGGAAGGAGGGCGACCTGTAGAGCAGTAGCTAAAATATCCTCAGTGTACAGGGAGGAGGGCAGCCAGCCAGGTAAGAGTCCAAGGGGGGAAGTGTGGAATTAGTGGGGAGGAGTTGGCAGCAGATAGAGATTTCATATAAGGAAAATCATTAGGTAAGCAAATATATTAATGATTATAGGCACCAGTTTTCTCACTGTCAGGAAAGGGAGTGCAAATATGGAGAGGGAGAAAGGTAGGGTGAGCTTCGTGCTGTTGGGTTGGAATTGGAGACATCAGTGTGTATGAGTGATTTCCAGGATGGGAACAGGATCATTGAGTTTTGTTGTTGTTGTTGTTGTTGTGTTGTTGTTGTTTTTGGTTTTTTTTTTTTGTTGTTGTTGTTGTTGTTGTTTTACAGGCAGAGTAGACAGTGAGAGAGAGAGAGACAGAGAGAAAGGTCTTCCTTTGCCATTGGTTCACCCTCCAATGGCCGCTGCAGCCGGCGTGCTGCGCTGATCCGATGGCAGGAGCCAGGTACTTATCCTGGTCTCCCATGGGGTGCAGGGCCCAAGCACTTGGGCCATCCTCTACTGCACTCCCAGGCCACAGCAGAGAGCTAGCCTGGAAGAGGGGCAACCAGGACAGAATCCGGCACCCCGACTGGGACTAGAACCTGGTGTGCTGGCGCCGCAAGGCGGAGGATTAGCCTAGTGAGCCAGGGCGCCCGCCGGGAACAGGATCATAAATAATGCTTGGCTCCGTCTGCGGAGAAGGCTGAGAACAACACCAGCATAACAGCCCTGAGAATGGCCAGGGCACAGAACTTGGCCTGCACATACTATTCTCTACTGAACTGGGCCAGGACTCCCTGAAAAGAGGCTGATTCCAGTACTGGGAAGGCAAAAATCAGGATAAATCTGAAATAAAGCCAGGAAATGGTCAAAGAATGTAGGAAGTACACATTAAATTATTCTGGGGAAATAAAGCTTCGCATCAGCAAACTGTGTCTCTCAGATGGCTCGGGAGGAAAAGATTGTGTTACTGTACTTGCAGTTTTTGTCTAGGATGCCAGCATCCCATGTCAGAGCATGGGTTCTTATGCTGGCTGCTCTGCTTCAGGCTAAAGTGCCTGGGAAGGCAGCAGAGGTTAGCCCAAAACTTGGACCCCTGCCACACACATAGGAAACCCAACTAGAGTTCCTGATTCTTGGTTTGGGCCTGGCACAGCCTTGGCTGTTATGAGTGTTTGCAGAGTGAACCAGCAAATGGAAGATCTCTCTCTCTCCCTCTCTCTCTTCCTCATTCTCTCTGTTGCTCTGGCTTTTAATATGTAAGTAAATCTTTTCAAAATAGCAAAAATAAAAATTAAACAGAATATTAAGAAGGGAAGAAGAAAGGTTTGCACAAGCAAATATATTGAAAACTAGCATTTTGCTAAAATGCAAACTTGTTAATTTTAATCATTACACATTTTCAGCATTTACATCAGTCTATGCTGCCTGGAAATACAAGAATGGAAAAGTACACCTTATTTTATCTCTAAGAAGCCAGTAGTTACAGGTTAGAGAGAAGTGAGAGGACTGTTGTGGCAGTTTTAGGGGTTGCAGTGGAGAGAGATGGGAGCACCTAGGTCTGTAGATGACAGTGAGCAAATAATTCAGAGCAGGTAACCCCTGAGCTTGAAGGAAAGCAGAACAGTGAGAGAGAGACTAGATGTGGAGACACATTCAAGAAGGGAAATGCAAAGTAAGAAGTCCTGAGAGAGTTGCAGGAGACTTCTTGGAACTGGAGACCCGAGGGCAGAAAAGCAGGGTCTGGCAGAAGTGGAGGGAAGTCCCAAATTCCCACTGGGTCAAAAACGCTTTCTTGGGAGCAGCTGTCTGGCCTGGTGGATGCCGGTTAAGACACCAGCATCCAATAGAGAATACCTAAGTTCCATACCCAGTTCCAACTCTTGACCCCAACTCCTTTCTAATGCAAACCCTGGGAAGCAACAATGATGGTTCAAATGGTTCCTTGCTACCTAAGTACCTAGATGGAGAGTCACTGACTCCTGGCTTCAGCCTGGCCCAACCTTGGCTATTATGGCCATTTAGGGAGTAAAACAGCAAGTGAGTGCCGTTTCTGTCTCTCTCTCCCTCTCTCCCTCTGCCTCTCAAAGAAAGAAAAGTTACTTTAAAAAACAGAAGTCTTCATCTACTGATGCTCCAAAAGATTATTTATGATCAACTGCACTAAGTATCTCAGTGAATTTATACCCCTCTTCTCCTATATTACTAGAATCAAATAACATTCAGTCGTTATTGTTGCTAATATGCCATGCTTAAATTTTTCAAACAAGAACAAGATGACTATCTGGATCATGTAGGTCTGTTCAGCCATCAGTGCTAGGGATAATAATATATAGGTAGGATCAGATTTCTGCAAGACTTTTCTGAAGTTCATCCTTAATGTATAAAATAGGTATTAAAATAATATATGCTCAGTTTACATCACTGATACCCGAAAATCAGGTAAGAAAAGATTCATGAAATACTTTATCAACTATAAAACAGAATATAGATACTATCATCAGCTAAGATGGGAGGTTAATGGGCTCTGGAAACTGGCCTACCAAACTGCCAATGGGAAAGGGAAAAGATCCACTAAAAATATTGTAGAACAAAGACTGCTTTATACCCAACAAAATTCTTGAGGTTATTTTTTTCTCCAGGATATTAAAGCACTAATCAAAACTAGAAAGAACTATAGATAACATCAAGTTTAATATGGTCTTATTTTGGAGAAGAACGCTCAGTGAAATTAAGTGACATGTAAAGTAACACATTTAAGCCCAAACCTGTCTCTTTCCATTTTATCCCCACAAAAGAAGCACTAATCAACTTCTTTTTGTTTTTAAGATTTACTTATTTATGTGAAAGGCAGAGTTAAAAAGAAGCAAAGGTGCAGAGAGAGAGAGAGAGAGAGAGAGAAGAAAGTCTTCCATCCACCGGTTCACTCCAGAGGTGGCTGAAATGGCCAGAGCTGAGCTGATCAGAAACCAGGAGCCAGGAGTTTTTCTAGGTTTCCCACGTGGGTGCAGGGACCCAAGGACTTGGGCCATTTTCTACTGTTTTCCCAGGTCATGGCAGAGAGCTGGATCAAAAGTGGAGCAGCCACGACTCGAACCAGCTCCCATATGGGATGCCGCCACTATAGGCGGCGGCTTTACCAGTAAGCCACAGTGCCAGCCCCAACATTAATCAATTTCTTAAGGATAGTGCAGATTGAGTATATCTCATCTGAAATATGCGGGATCAGAAGTGTTTCTGATTTGGGATTTTTTTGGGGGGAGAGGATTTTGGCATATTTGCAAATGTACTGTAAGATATCTTGACAATAGGAGCTAAGTCTAAACACAAAATGCATGTTTTGTATTTACCTTATTCACATGTGTGTTTCATATTCACCTATTCACATAGTCTAAGACCATTTCATACAATATTTTTAATAATTTTTGCATGAAACAAAGTTTCATGGTATGGAATTTTCTACTGTGTAATTGTATCTATGTCTCTTAAAAAACTTTTGGGTTTTGAATTTCAGGTTGTGAGATTAGAGATTCTTATCCTGTACAATTATGATGCAAATATGAATCAATTATTTAATTGAGGGGGAAATAAAAACTGGGAATTACACTGACCTCTGTTCTAGCTCCTTGTCTTCATCCTTTCTCTTCCACTCTTTCCTAATGAACCAATATTCCTGCTCTCATTCAGCTCCGCTCACATGCATCACCTACCATGGCATTTATGCTTTATAATTCTTTAAATATTTTACGATATTCCTAGAAGTACTTGGAAACCTTATAGGTGTTGCATGGAAATATAATGAATAAATTAATGGAAAAAATAAGAGGCAGGATATGTTATAAAAAATGTAAGCCAAAGTGTGTGTGTGTGTTTGTGTGTGCGTGTGTACACAAAGGTACAAACAAAGGTTTGGAGTATCTTAACTAAACTGTTCACAGTGTCTTCTCTTACAAAGTAGGACTGAAAGCAGGAAATTGACAAGAGAACAACACCTTTCCTTGGAATGAAGAATGAAGGAAATGTGTCCCTTTTCTTTATACCCTTTGATAGTATTAGAATTTTTCAAAAAGCTATGCCTTACTTTTACAATTAAAGGGATAAAAATGGTCAAAATCAGAGGGTAGTAGAAGCCTGAGTGGCCTCGCTAGGGAATAAGGAGGGGAAGACTCAGTCCTGCGTCTCCATGGGCCCAGTGGGGAGATCCCATGCTGGGTGGCTGCAGGTTTCTTTCTCACAGTAACTAGCACAAGTAGCATAGATTGCTACTTTTGTATACTTTTGTAAATGCCACTGAAAGCATCCAAGCCTTTCATTCTGTCTTTGATGGGGAATGTGGTAGGCTCAACAGCAGGCATTAATAACTCTCCCGGGAAGGGATATGTCCCCTATTGTAATTCTCTAAGGCCAAAATCTTGGTGGCAACTGAGCTGTTGGGAAATATGAGTGTGAGAACAGTTAAAAAGTTTGTTTTCAAGATAGAAACATCCTACAAAGCCTAGTGTTAAACAAATCCATGTCATGAAACTCACCAGGAGCTCCTCTCTCCTCTGAATTCTCAACCTCTTACTAAGGGACCCACATCCTCCCCTCTTCCTTCCCTTGCTGCCCTTCCTACAAGTCTGCTAAATCCAATATCTCTAGTCACACAAAAACATCAAAAATCAAGAACAAAAAAGGAGAGTTGATTGAGGCACTAGCTGTAATTTTATTTATTTTTTTTTTTTTCCGGCAATGGCACCTGGCTTATCTAACTTGCAAGGTATTTTTAACTTAAGAATTTAAATGAGACTCTGGAATTTAAAAAGCAAGCAGAGAGCACTTTCAGGAGCTTCAGCCAATATAAGAACCCTCTTGATGAGTTTCACTTCCAATCTTTTCTAGAAACCTGTTCTTACTGAAAAACAACTCTGTGGAGTGACGTGTTTACTCTCACTGTGACTAAGCACTCACCTTTCACTCTGGTAAGATGATGGGGCCTCCTGGAAAGATCTATATGCTCTCTATGGAATTCATCACAGACAATTCCAACCCAAGGTCTTCACACAGCACAGTACTGAGCAAAGAGTGATAAAACAAGAATTAGAAGAGAAATTCGAAAGAGAACACACTGGGTGTATTATAAATCTGGCTTTAGGGTTCAACCATCTAAGATCCTTTACAGTTATTAGTAACACTGAAAACTAGATACATTTATTATAGTGCTTGAGTGTGGGAAACCTGGAAGAAGTTCCTGGCTCCTGGCTTTGGATTGGCTCAGCTCCAGCCGTTGCAGCCATCTGGGGAGTAAACCAGTGGATGGAAGACCTCTCTCTCACTCTCTCTGCTTCTCTGTAACTCTGCCTTTCAAATAAATTAATTAATTTAAAAAAAGATTAGAAAAGGAAGAGGCATATATGGCATTACAAGCTTCATACACTGCGCCTGGCCTCTGCGGTAAGTATGGAGCCAGAGTGAGATTGGGTTCCATGGCAAACCAGATCATATCACAGCTGTTGCTACAGTTGGTTCAGAGATGCCTGGGTTTTAAGATAATTACAGAACATTTACACCACTGTTATTGTTTACTCATCTGTTTCTGCTGACATAATAGGGCCCAGTGTTTATGATCTTAGAACCAGTACCATCAACAAAAATAATATCTATAATTACTCTCTTTAATCCACATTGAATATGATGACATAATCATTCTAGGGCAATTTGCTCTACCAGGCAGGTCTGGTCAAAGCCAACCGTGAACATTATCCTCACTGTATTATCATCATTTTCTTATAGATGTTATTTTCTTCCTATAACCATTGCTTGAATTGTTATCTGATATTTCAATTCTAGTAAGAGAACATTTGGAAAATTAATCTATTGCCTTAGCTAGGCAAGAATGTTTTGCTTACAGTCTACATTCTTAAATATTAAGAGTGGGAGCCAACCCTGTGGCACAGCAGGTTAAGCTATTTGCAATGCCAAAATCCCATATAAGCCCCACTTTGAGACCAGGCTACTCCACTCCTGATCCAGCTCCCTGCTCATGCGCCTGGGAAAGCAGTGGAAGATAGCACAAGTGCTTGGGCCCCTGCACCCATGTGGGAGATCCAGTTAGTTACAGAAGTTGCACGCTCCTGGCTTTAGTCTGGCCCAGACCCAGCTGTTGCAGCCATTCCGGCAGTAAACAGCAGATGAAATTCTCTCTCTCTCTCTCTCTCTCTCTCTCTCTAACTCTCCCTTTCACACACATAAATCCATATTTAAAATATATTTTCAGAATTAATTGAAATCAAAGACAGGTAGAAAACATAAAAATAAATTAGTTTAAATGTTGGCTTTTTAAAAGCAAGCAAGGCCAAAATTTGAAGCCATATGCAACACATATTTCAAACTTGTGATCTTTTTTTGACAGAAATATTGACATAGATGATAAACACCCCTGGATACTAAAAACTGATTTACATTTGAGAAACAAAAAGCCTCTGAAACAGACTTTTGGCCAAGAAGTCCAGGGTGAAGTCCAAAGTGACTGCAGTGTTTGATCAACCCATCAAGTGTTATGATAACCTACGTGTGCTTACTCACAGCGGATTTTTACCTTCGATTATTTTAAAGCTCTTAAAATAGTTGGGGCTTGCCTTTCCATTGATCTTTAATTGATATCACAAATATTTCTTTTAAAGAAACAAATTGAAAAACGCTATTCTCAGCTTTGCACTGACTACATAACTTTCAAAGGATATATCCTCATGACTATTTCCTACTAGTTACCCCTGGGTTATAATATGAATGTATCTAATACTTATACAGGTGTATACAAAGGTTCTTTTGACAATAATTCACATTATAAAATGTTGTGAGCATTAAAATATACTATGTATTCATAATATCTAGCATAAAGGCAAATACTAGATGCTCAGTATATTTATAAAAAGTGTATGGGTGGGGCCAGCGCCGTGACTCACTAAGCTAATCCTCTGCCTGCGGTGCCAGCATCCAATATGGGCACCAGGTTCTGGTCCCGTTGCTCCTCTTCCAGTCCAGCTCTCTGCTGTGGCCCGGGAAGGCAGTGGAAGATGGCCCAAGTGCTTGGGCCCCTGCACCTGCATAGGAGACCAGGAGGAAACACCTGGCTCCTGGCTTCAGGTTGGCACAGCGCCAGCCGTAGCAGCCATTTGAGGGGTGAACCAACAGAAAGAAAAGCTTTCTCTCTGTCTCTCTCTCTCGCTCTCTAACTCTGCCTAATAAAAAAAAAAAGTGTGTGAGTGTGTATCTCAAACTCTGTACTGTCTGCTGTGCTCTCATGTACCTTTCTCTTTTTTCAGTACTTACCACAATGCCCTAAAATCATGATAATGAGGATTATGACATTGGTCTAAATATCAAATGAGAAACACACAGTTATATGTCACTTTGGGGATATAATCTGGGAAATATATCATTCCATGATTTCATCAATACCATGGGGTATACTTATACAACCTAAGACAGTTATGACTTCACTGGACTATGTAATCTTCTGGGACCACCATCAACTATGAGGTCTATTATTGACGAAAACATCCTTATGTGGTATACGACTGTACAAACACTAAGAAAGTTTTCTTCCTATCGTCAAAACTATGATCCATCTTTATCTGAATTCTAAAACTTTTCCTTCTCTCTTCTTACAGCAAGTTCATTTTCCAAGCCTTCTTCCAAGACCAGTCCTCCATTGGCACAACAGATCCGTTGCTCTCTTGCCCACTTGAGGTCTTTGGTCTCACTGTTATTCTTTCTGTCTCCTGTACCATCAGTTTTCCCTCTGCACTAGATTATGTCCACATGCAGAAAACCTTACCTCTCCTAAGTTCCCTTGACCCTATGTCTTCCTTAAACTACCACCCTTCTCCTTGCTTCCTTCTGAGAGCAAATTTCTTGAAAAGAGTTATTACAGTTCCTGGCATCACTTCCTCCCATCCCATTCTCTAAAGTGTGTACTCTGATAAATGCCCCCCACTCTGCTCCTCCCTCCCCAGAAGCTACTTTTGATGAGGTAATGTATTGTACTTCATTTTACTTTATGACAAGTAACATTATGTATTTATTTCTCTTTTTTTAAAGATTTATGTATTCATTTGAAAGGGAGAGTTAGAGAGAGAGAGAGAGAGATCTTCCATCCGCTGGTTCACTCCCCAAATGACCACAAAGGTGGGGGCTGGGCCAAGCCAAAGCCAGGAGCCAGGAGCTTCTTCCAGGTCTCCCACGAGGATGCAGGGGCCCAAGGACTTGGGCCATCTTCTACTGCTTTCTCAGGCACATTAGCAGGCAGCTGAACTGGAAGTGGAGCAGCTTGGACTACAACTGGAGTCCATATGGGATGGCTGCGCTGCAGACGACAGCCCTACCTGCTATGCCGCAGTCTGGGCCCCATGTGTTTGTTTCTTAACGTAGCCATTGCCTGTCTCCCTTGCTACAATCTAAGTTCCAAAATAACAGGGAATTGATAGACTTTTTCACCATATTGTCGGCCCTGGTACTCACTAGGTCCTCAGTGGAAATACATCCTTGTCTAGATTACTTATCTTAAGGTTTCAAATGTACTATATTTCTTCAATAAGGCCATATTTCAATGGCTACACACATTTTTACTTTGCATGAATTGTGAGTTGATTTTAAAATAACACCCCATTCCTTTAGGGCGACTCTGCAATGAGGACATGTTCCATTGTATTCTAACTTGTGTGGCTGCAAATGTCCATACAGTACCACAGAAAGAGGTCCCAGTTGCTAATACAGCATTGCCACATTTGCCTCAAAAATCATGTATGGTTCTGGTGGCACTGCCTTGCCACTGTTTGCTTAATGCTTCAAGCTGGAAAATAATTCAGTGTGCTTTCAGGCCAAGGAAAAATCATGAAGCTGAAGACAGAACTGAAGCAGCTGCTGGTGCAAATTCACTCCAGGTATCCTCACCTGCTTTTAGATCATGAATAACATGGAGGGCTACAATTCCCATTTTTCATTTAAGCATTCACTGTTTATGGTGAGTTTTGCAAGGACCATGTTATAGTTTTTCAAGAATTTCAAGGTTTAACATTTTTATGCTTTGCAAGAACACATTGTCGGCCGGCGCCGCGGCTCACTAGGCTAATCCTCCGCCTAGCGGCGCCGGCACACCGGGTTCTAGTCCCGGTCGGGGTGCCGGATTCTGTCCCGGTTGCCCCTCTTCCAGGCCAGCTCTCTGCTGTGGCCCGGGCGTGCAGTGGAGGATGGCCCGAGTACTTGGGCCCTGCACCCCAAGGGAGACCAGGAGAAGCACCTGGCTCCTGGCTCCTGCCATCGGATCAGCGCAGTGCGCCGGCCGCAGCGCGCCGGCCGCAGCGGCCATTGGAGGGTGAACCAACGGCAAAGGAAGACCTTTCTCTCTGTCTCTCTCTCTCACTGTCCACTCTGCCTGTCAAAAAAAAAAAAGAACACATTGTCATTAATATTTTATCCCAAAGTAAAACTATGAAGTCTTTGTATTATACCTTTCACAGCCATTAACAGACTTTAATTATCATATTCACCCTATGTAATAGGGAAAAAAAAGGTATTTAACTTTTGTCTTACAGATTTAGAAGTTGAGGGAACTAAGGCATACCTAAGACATCTAAATACATAAATGACCAAATATAAACTGGTATAAAACACTTTTGACTGGCACTAGCATTGTGCTATAACAATTAAAGCTGCCACTTGGCAATGCTGGCATCCCAGATGGGCACCAGTTCATGTCCCAGCTGTTCTACTTCCAATCCAGCTCCCTGCTAATGTGCCTGGGGAAAGCAGCAGAAGATAATCTAAGTGTTTGGGCCCTTGCCACCCTCGTGGGAGACATGGACAGAGCTCCTGGCTCCTGTCTTCAGCCTGGCCCAGTCCTGGACATTGCAGCCATCTGGGGAGTGAACCAGCGAATGGAAGATCTCTCTCTCTCTAGCTCTGAGAGTTAATTTTTAAATGAAAATAAATCTTTAAATAAAAAACTTTTGATTATCAAATTAATTTAATTTCCATTAAAATCCTTTGTCATCAATCCTACTATATGATTTCATTGACACATAAAATTATTGCCGTAGCTCACTAGGCTAATCCTCCGCCTTGCGGCGCCGGCACACAGGGTTCTAGTCCCGGTCGGGGCGCCGGGTTCTGTCCTGGTTGCCCCTCTTCCAGGCCAGCTCTCTGCTGTGGCCCGGGAGTGCAGTGGAGGATGGCCCAAGTGCTTGGGCCCTGCACCCCATGGGAGACCAGGAGAAGTACCTGGCTCCTGCCATCGGATCAGTGCGGTGCGCTGGCCGCAGCGTGCCAGCCACGGCGGCCATTGGAGGGTGAACCAATGGCAAAGGAAGACCTTTCTCTCTGTCTTTCTCACTGTCCACTCTGCCTGTCAAAAATAAAAATAAAAAATTTTTTAAAAATTTAAAAAAAAATAAAAATTAAAAAATTATTATCTTAGTATATGGGGAAAATAACTTCCTCCTGGATCCTAAGGCAATTTAAAAATAAAGAATTTGAAGTCAGAAATATTATGTAAATAAATACAATAAATGAAAATTCTTGCTCAGCTCATGCTCTGAAGGGTAGCAGAAATTTAGCACATGAAATCGAATGAAAAAATTAAAGAGCATTCAATCATATTTGTAAAATAAACTATGATATTTCCTCTTATTACAGATTTTATTACCTAGCATCTGAACAGGGCTATGATCCCATTAGTCTATGATGTAACAGTTCATGGTCAACAACTATCTGAATCCACATAAACTTGTCTTTTCCATTGTTTCATTGCCATCTTTATCGGTAGTAAATAGTAGCTTAAAACCAAGATAGGGCAGCATATTAAAGATGGTGAAACTTGGTGACTAAATCATCACAGACGAATTGCCACGCTTTTCTCTCAAAACTCTCCTGGAAGAAGAGCATTGTGTGTTTTATTCCAGCTGCTTTTTGGAAATGAAGTAATGCAACAGCATTTTAATCATCTTTGTATGAAAATGTAACAATTTCATGAAAGCTTTACTTCAAATTTCCATTAAACTCATCTTTTTAAAGATGTCTTAATGTCTCGATTTCATGAAGAAAACAGATTGAAACATTTCAATAACAAAGTGATATCAGGTTTAATAGTCCACAAGGGCACTTCAAAAAGTTTGTGTGGAAATGAGATTAAAAGATGAGTTGATTTCAGTGTGAAAATGTTTTAAATCCTTGCCTACTTTTTTCATAGTGGACATTCTCCATGAACTTTTTAAAATGTCCTCATATAAATTATTTTAAACATATAGTTTCATGCTCTGTAATCAAACCTTACTGCAACCCTTAGTTTCATTTGAGCTATCGTCTCTTTTCCCAAAATCCCAGCCTCACACGCTCCTTTGCTCATTTTCCCATCATTGCCCTATCATTCCCTCCCTTCACTCTAGTCAACTGGAAGACTTATGACTCAGGCCCATCCTCCCCCTCAACTATGAGCCCTTTGCTCTCCTGCGCCTTGGGCTCTGCTCCACCAACAGTCTCACCCTTCTGCACTTTTCCCACTTGCTCACCCACGTGTAGCATCTTCCCAGCAACGCTGAAGCCGAACACCTACAATACAATGTCCTGCAGCCAGGGTTCTAGTTCACCTCCTCTTCCCTCAGCCAGAGTTTTCCCTTTCTTTTCCAAGATCAAGCCATGGGTTTGACAATCTCATGCTTGTCACCTTCTACCAAGTCACTCACCAGTACACCACGTGGGCTGGCACCTTGGTCCTTCTTGAAACAATCCTGTCCCTCTCTCCCAAAAAGCCACACATTTTTTGGTTTTCCTTCCATTTTTTTTTAAACTAATAGTTGAGTTTATTTATTTGAAAGGTGAAAGGAAAAGAGAGATATGTCATTTGCTGACCCATTTCCCCAAATGTCCACAACAGCCAGGGCTGGGTCAAGCCCAGGCTAGAAGCCAGGAACTCTATCTGGTTCTCCCACATGAGAGACAGGGGCCCAAGTAGCGGAGCCATCACCTGCTCCCTCCCAGTGTGTGCGTTAGCAGGAAGCTGCAGTCAAGAGCAGAGCCAGGACCTGAACTCAGGCTCTCCAGTAAGGGATGCAGGTGCCCCAGGTGCCATCTTGATCACTGCACCAAACACCTGCACCTTCCACCATTCTACACTCCTGAGGAGTCTATTTTGTTGGTGTTTAGCCTAGCAATGCAGATGCTAGTCAGGGCATCTGCCACCCACATCAGAGTGCCTGGGCTCGACGCCCAGCTCCACCTCTTGATTTCAGCTTTCTGCTAATAAAAAACCTGAGAGGCAGCAGTGGTAGCTCCTGCCACTGACTTGGTAGGACTGGATTGAGTTACCAGTCCTGCTCGCTCACTCTCTCTCTCTCTCTCTCTCATACACACACACACACACACAAATAAATAACAAAGTTTTTAAAAATTTTTGTTTTTTAAGCTACCCAGTCTGTGGTATAGCAGTTGTGGCAAACTAATATACTTTCTATGATTAGGTTGCAGCTCCTAAAGCCATTGTTATAGTGTCAGCTCTGAATACCATATTGTGTCCCTCCACCAGCTGGATCTCACCACATGGATGTCCCACAAGGTATTTCAAGAATTCAGCTCATGGTGGTTCATCCAGTTATCTGAGCCGGGAACATGCTCACTGTGGCTACCCACCCTCCTGCTCTGTGTCAGGTCCTCTTAGCCCATTCCAGCTCTAACTCCACGTCAAGTAGGGCTGGCAGATTTTCTGCCTCAGATTTTCTCCAAAGTTCTGAGACCTGCTCAGCTGCTCTCAAATGTTGGGGTGCTAGCTTGTCTGGGGACAATCCCAAACCAAAAAGCAGAGTCAAGGACCAAAGGCCCAGGCTCCAGTATTTCAGAGAGACCCTTGTCAATGAAATCTTGCAACACAGTTCCTTGGGGGATTCTCTCATAATATCAAGCCCCCTCCCTGATGCGCTGTCCTCATTATCTCTTCCTTACTTCCTGGGTTCATCATTAAAATTAACCTCTGCATCCCAGTTTTGACTCTTATTTGCATTTGGGGAAACCCATACTAAGATAGTCAGTGTCACCCTCTTAGCTTTCTCCTCTATGCATCTTATCTGGCCATCAGTTTTGACAGACTCTCAGATGGGTCTGCTCTCTTCAAGGCCACTGTCTTTCCGAGGTTTATGGCGCAATCAGCTCTTACCTGGATGCTCTACAGTCTTCTAACTGACCTCCCCAGCTTGTACATTGCCTTTACCAAGTTGTTCTCCAAGTGGACTATCGGATCCCAGTTACTCACTCATAAAAACTTTGTCTTTGGAATGATATTTTTAATGCGACTTTCATAATTAAGTCTGGTTTCCCTCCCGATTGCGTCTCTCACCATCCCCACTTCTTTTTGATACACTAGTCACATTTATCTATGTTCAGATTCCTGACCAGTCATGCAACCTCTCACCTCTGAACCTTTGCACATGCAGCTCCCTTCTCTTATGACCTTCTCTACTCAACAACTCTTCCATTTATGTTATTGTACCTAATTTACATCACATTTAGTCTTGAAGATTTTCTCTGCTGTTTATTTTTGGTTAGGTGTCCCTTCTGTGTCTTAAAATGTATTGCGCTTCATTTTCATTATCTACTTAAATTTGTTTAAGCTATCCACTCAATTATAAGTTTTAAAGCTTTCTATTTCTCATTGGTTTAAAGTATTTCATTTATTTCATATATTCAATAAATATTGGCAGAATAAATGGGTTAATGAATAAAAGAAAATTATGGAATAATATTACTAAATATTTTCAATACCAAAAAGCCAGCAAATAAGTTTTCAAACAATATAGAAAGAGCTGAAGCAAAATAGAAGCAAGGCTAACAAATGAAAGTCTATAAAATGTAGTCAAAAATGCTACCTTCAAAAACCTTGGTTACCATTACCTCTACAACCATGGATACACACTTACTCAGATTTTTAAATCCATTACTTAGAAAGCAATTTTAAGAGTTCATAACCAAAGCAAAAATTTTCAAATGGAGAATTTAAGTAAATGCCATAAGTCAGTGAATATCTTAAATAACTTTTTAATGAGATGCCTTTAATTTTTGACCTCACCCAAAGGCACAACAAGGGATAGATTTCAGGAAGGCTGAGAAGCAAATCAAACCTGTTCCAGGCCTCTGACTCCTTGATTTCTCAATCCAACAACTGTCCCTCCTCCTCCCACCCCCACCCTCGTCCTTGCTCTACAATTCGAAGCCTCCTGAGTCTGCCCAAGGAGCTGCTTCCTGCTGAACTGAAGATTCTTACTGGAATTCCCCGGCGAACTGCCCTCCCTGCTATCATCCATCTAAATAGCAGGTTATCACTGCCACTCCCCACCCTCCCACCTTATTACACAAAAACAAATGTCAGCACTTGAGCAGATATGTGGGGATTCCAGGCCAGAGAGAGTGAAGAGGTGGACTCCTAGACAATCTACAGGAAAATGGGGAGGGTAAGGCATGGCCCTGAAGAACCTCACAAGCACACTCTGTAAGACGGTCTCACCCAGGGAGCCTCCAAGTGGTCAGGAAAGCACAGGCTGCCTGAGCCCCATCACTGAGCATTGCTGCCCCCAAGTTGGAGGTGGTCCCTGCTTAGATGATGTTGCTTTGTTGGAGAAAATACTTAATCCTCACCAACTCCTTAGCAACAGTGTGCCATTGTTGTCAAGCAAAGGGGCAGAGCAGGAACAATGCTGCCCTATCACCAAGAAACTCTCACGTTACAAATCCTGCTGATGATGAACTGGTAGATATTGTCATCACTGGCTATATGAAAAAGCCACTATGGTAATTGGTTCCTTAAAAACATTGTATCTAAGACTATGCGATTATTTTGATCTTCAATTTAGCAGGCAATAACTTTTACCATAAACAGGTTCTGATTTGATTCTAAGGAGTAGCTAATGAGATGATGCAAAATTCAAAAATAAAATTCTTTCATTTACTCAGAAAATATTTCAGATATTCCTCTGTGTATTGAGATCATTGATGAACAAAACAGGTTAAAATCCTGGACTTTCTAGGATTCCCATTTTTAGTAGGAGTAGAATGAAGTAATGTAAAAAGCTCATTTTCAAGACATTTATCAAATTAGTCACTATGTCATTATTAAATATCATATTATCAAAAAAAAAAACAAAATTAAAAGAAAAAATTTCAAGGAGCTAGCATGTAGCCTAGTGGTTAAGACACCAGGATCCACAGCCAAAAGTACCTGGAATTGATCCCCAGCCCCAGGTCCTGACTGGTTCAATCCAGTGGCTGGCCTCCCACCCACACAGATCTCTGAAGGTAACAGTGGGTGCTCTAGTAATTGGGTTCCTGTCACCCCTGTAGGAAACCTGGGTTCTGCTCCTGGCTCCTGGCTCTGGCCATAACTCAGTCCTAGCCTTGGAGGCATTTGGAAAGTGAACCAATAAATGAGAGTTTCTCTCACACACTCTCTCTGCCTCTTAAAATAATTCATTTTTTCTTTTTAAATTTTAATTTAAAATTTTGACAACATGAGGGCAGGTATTTGACCTAGTGCTTAAGATGCCTGTTAAGATACCTGTATTCCACGTCAGAGTACCTGGGTTCTAATACATGCCTTGGCTGCAGATTCAAGCTTCCTGCCAATGTAGACCCTGGGAGGAAGCAGTAATGGCTACAGTACCTGGATTTCTGCCACCCTCATTATTCCCTGGCCATTGTGGGCATTTGGGGATTGAACCAGGATGGGATTGATCTCTCTCTTTCTCTAGTTAATTAATTTTAAATTAATTACTAGTATTTAAATAATTACTACTATTTAAATGATAACAAGCTGTAAAAAAAAATCACACAAGTGGGAGAAGTTGATAACAGGGGAAATCCTGCAGGAAAGGGCTAGCAAGGTTTGTGGAAACCTTCTGTGCCTTCCACGCACTTTTCTGTCAACCAGAAATTCCTCTAAAAGAAAAATGTGTTGATTTGGGGGAGAAATGGGCTAAGATGAACTCACTCTCTTGTTTTGATCTTCCACTGGCATGGGACTCAAAACTACAAATAGTGGTTTCCAGATCTGGGAACTTCAGAAGCAATGAGAATTCTCAAAAGTGCAAAAGAAGACAGTTTCCCACTTTTCCTTTGCCAAGTAAGCCTGTTCAACATACATATGTGTGCACATGGGGACTTCATAAACTTTGTGGGAAAATGGATTCTAAGATAATTCTATTTTGGTGTAAAAAAAAGAAATTCATGCATTTTTTAAAAAAATAAACATTTTCCATGTACTTTTTGAAGATCCTGCATAATACATGGGTTTCCAAATGATTTGTACCAAAATAAATTTGTCTTTTAATTCCATTTCCCAAGAATTTTTGAAGAACCTTTGTGTAGACCTAGACATACTCTCCATATTCTTTATAAAGAAAAGACAATCAAATCACTAAAATATAAGCATATATTTGAAAATAAGGAAATTTCTCCAAATTTAGGAAATTTGGCCTTATGAAAAACTTACTCCATTTTGCGATTTTTTTTCATTTCATGGTTCCCTTATGAACACATCACCTGACATCTATAGCACACAGGCTGGGATACCAGCCCAGAGTTTAGTCAACTACAGTGCATGGATGTGAAAGTCAAGATTCTTCAGCCTGACCTTCCAGAGGATAGAGTCAGATGGGTAAAATCAAAAGGTCTTGGGCCCTCACAGCAGTTGCCTGCTTGCACGTTTCATGTAGATCTTGTCATTTATCCTAGCTCTGAAGTCATATGAAATGTGCAAATGTTAACTTTGTGTAGACCATGAGTTATTGTTCCAAGGCAATCACTCAATTCTTTTCCTAAAATTCTCATACCAGTTCCTGTTAGATGGCGCTAGGAGTGTGTGTTCACTGAGCAGGTACCCTGACGAGACCTTTAGCATGTGGGTCATTATGCATAATCAATGAAGTGGTGATGGGTTCCTGCCAGAGGAGGCAAGTGTCACCCATCCAATATCCCAAGTCGGTATTCACTGTTCCTCAAGAAGAAGCAGCATGGTACTTGCAGGGTTAGAACTGTGGTCCATTGCTTCTGGTAGGTGCTCCTCCCTGTCCCAGGCAGAATCGACAGGTCTGGCTTTGAATGTACTTGTCTCTGAGAGAAAGTAGGAATTAAGAGCCATTTGTACTGAAACACATCTGACAATGTGGGTTTTGTACATGACTACCTGGAATAGCAGAGTTTTCCTTGGTATACAATATTCAGGGAAGATTCCTGATCTATCCAACTGTGTAAAGGGAAGTAAGTACTTCGGGAATAAGTAAGCCAAGGCTTGAACAGCAAAATCTCTTAAAGGGTTCTCAGGCAGGTAAGTTCAGGTCCACATGCTACCTCTCAAACTCTCAGAACAGACTATTAGAAATGAAGACTTTGAACAATGCCTTAGGCTTCTCCTCAGGCATGTGGGCAGCTGTTATTCTGAGAAGTAAGCAACAGGGTCACATCCTGTATTCTGACTCCTCTGTAAGTTGAGGAAGAGTAAATGATTGAGTTTACCTGATTATTCCATTTCTGCAAAATATATTAGAATTCAAGGGAAACTTGTAAGTATAAATTTTGAGGATAAAGTTACAAATGTATCAGTTTAATGCCTCTTTTATTAAATAAGAGAACATTGATCTTTCTTCTAAGGGTATTAGTGTTTCGAGGGAAAAGAAATCTTACACAACTGGTAACGGAGGTCAGGGCCATGATAAAATTTAATGCATCTGTTGTGCTCTTTTCAATTATCTGACTTAATTCACTGGCTGCAGTTTGTGCTAGTTCACACCTCAGAGCTGACAATGAAACCACCATATTCTACATTCCACAAAGTGGCTGGTACAAAACAGCTCTGCAGGGTTCATGAGAGTCCTTAGCCCAACCATAGCCAAGAAGCTGCAGAGCACACACTACACAGCAAAAAAGCTGGCAATGTGAACTACCTAGGACTCTCCCAGTGAGTTAGAAAACCTCTCTTTACACAGACACACTTTGGCACTTGCCCTAAGCCCCTTTTCCAAAGTGATTTTCTTCCCAATCTACAGACCTTCTAGCACATTAACTTCTGACTGGCCTATTCTCCTCACAACACCATCTAACTACTTTTCCTAATTATCCATTCGTTTGTTTGGATGGGTTATTCTAAAAGAGTTGAGTCTTGGCAATAAAAGACAGAGGACTCAAACTAGGGAACTTGTCTAATCTAATGACCAGAGTCACCTTCTTCCTGTCACATTGACAAATTCGAAGTGGAAGAGTTAAACCACCTTCTCCCTAATTTCCCATTCCTTGTAATTCCAGAACACTCCATGTCCTGTTCTACATCTTCAAGCTGTACTGGTGAATACCTTCTCCATCTGGTTAACCAGTGGTGCCTTTCTGCCCTGTTTGCCAATCCTGGTTTAACCTTCTTTCCAGAGTTGTTTGTCTTCACTCAGATAATAAACTACTAAGATCTGGTCTGAACAATAAAATCAGTAAGTCAATTATTTTACTTATTTATTTATTTACTTCTCTATCTATCTATCTATTTAGAAAGCAGACTTAGAGAGCAAGAGAAAGATCTTCCAACCATTGTTTCACTCCCCAAATGGCCACAACAACCCAGGGCTAGCCCAGGCTGAAGCCAGGAGCCTGAAACTCTATCCGGGTCTCCCATGTGAGTGGCAGATGCCCAAGTACATGGTCATCTTCTGCTGCTTATCCAGGCACATTAGCAGGGAGCTGGATCAGAAGTGGAGTAGTCAGGACTCAAACTGCCATTCATATAAAATGCTGGCCTTGCAGGAAGCTGCTTAACCCATTGTGCCACAATGCTGGCTCCATCATATACTTGGTGTACAAGATTTACCTGTAAAGATAACAGAAGAAAAGCAGAGGAAGTACATTCACAGGGGAGAGTTGGAGAGAGATTTGCAATGGAAATTCTACAGAAAAAAAAAATACACCGTGGAGCATCATGGGCAATACAAACACACAGCAGCAAGAGGGAAACCAACCAACCCGTGACTCCGACAGCCAGGAGCTGCAGAAGCCAGCTTCTGAAAGCAATGTGAGAGCAGACTGTGGTAGCCCTTGTTGCTGATGCTAGTGTCTGAAGGAGAACCTTTTGAACCACACTGATAATGAGTCCAGCTTAGAGCCCTAGAAAGGGTCAGAGTACCAACTAAATTCTGTGAAGGAAAAGCACATTTCTTTCTCCTCATCTCCCCAACAAGGGTGCCTTGTGACAAGCAGGGAGAAAGTGCCATCTTAACACCAATGAATGCTGCAGCAGCTCTAGCATGCATGACTAGGGGATTTTATCAGAGGGAAAAATCTGCATTTCTCTATGACTTTGAGTCTGACTGGGAGGGTTGGCAAGGGGCTGGGCACCCATGTAGGTCTACGAGGTGCTCCTGTCCCCCTACCCTATCATAAACTCCAGGGCTCAAATTGCCAAGCCGGAGTACCCACAGGCAGCTGACTCTCAGAGTGCCTCTGCTCTCTCCATGCACAGGGGAAGTACAAGGGGCTGAGAGTGGATCCCCTGCACCCTGTGACTATGGGAGCCTTGTGTGCTATGACTGTGGGGAATTCTGTGACTGTATGATAGCGTGTGGGGTGTAGCTGGGTCCCTGGGCAAGCACTGTGTCTGGTCTCAGAGGCTCAGAGCTCCAGATTGCCTGGGGTGGATCACTACAGAGGATTCTGTGCTCACACTGAGGACTGCACAGATCCTTTGTGCACTTCATGCGCCTGTGTGGATGGGGGGGGGTGTGTAACCACCATGGGCTAACCCGAGAGCAATGATCACCTTGGAAGGGAGGAGGCAAGGTTGTGATTACAACAGCAGATATGATCAGTAGGGATATGATCTCCCTACTGCTGACAATAGAAGAGATCTACTATGCCCACCTTTGGTGTCACCCTGAACTCTCACCCCACCCTTGAGTACTGACCCCTGACCCCACTTAGCATTTGTTTCTAGATATGCACTGAAGGAGTCACCACTCCACTAAGCCACAGAGGCACAGTTCAAAGATAAAAGCCACAAGAGGAGAAAACCAACAAATGTTTCCACAAATGCCTAAAAATAAAAGCAGAAATATAAGAAACAAAAAAAACAATATGACTCCCCCAAAGGAATACAACACTCCAATAATAGATTGTGAAGACAAAGAGATTGACAAAAATGCCTGAAGATGAATTCAAAAGAGTGATCATAGGATTACTCAGAAATGCAGATAAATAAATGCATAAAATAAAGAAATCTGTACAATATATGGATGAAAGAGCTTGCTGAGAGATAGATATATGAAAGAGAAATCAACTGAAATATTAGAAATTAAGAATTCAAATATGTCAAATAGAAAATTCAGTGGAAATTCTCAACAACAGAGTTATTAAGGCAGAAGAAAGAATTAAAACCAGAAGACAAATCCTTGGAAATATCGCAGCAGCAGCAGCAGCAGCAGGAGGAGGAGAAGAAATAATTAGAAAAAACTGAAACTAATGTTCAAGATTTATGGGATACCATCAAATGACCAAACATACATGTCTTAGGAATTCCTAAACTCATGGAAAGAGAATGGATTAGAAGGCATATTTGGTGAAATAGTTGCAGAAAACTTCTCTAATTTGGAGAAAGAAAGGGACATCCAAATACAGGAAACACATAGAACTCCTAATAGACATGATCAGAAAAGATCTGACACATTGTAGTCAAATGTTCAACAGTAACACATAAAGAAAAGACTATAATATGTGCACAAGAAAAATGCCAGATTACATTTAAAGAATCTCCAATTTGGCTAACAGTTGATTTCTAATCAGAAAGTATAAAGTGTAGGAAAGAATGGAGAGACATAGCCAAAATCTTAAAAAAGAAACTGTCAACTCAGAATACAGTACCCAGCAAAGCTCTCATTTATAAATGAAGGTGAAATAAAGACCTCCCAAAACAAATATAAACTGAAAGAATTTGTAACCACTTGTCTAGCCTTATAAATGATTCTTTTTGTTGTTGTTGTTTTTGTTTTAAAGACCTTTTTTTAAACTTTTATTTAATGAATATAAATTTCCAAAGTACAGCTTATGGATTACAGTGGCTCCCCCCCATAACTTCCCTCCCACCCACAACCCTCCCCTCTCCCACTCCCTCTCCCCTTCCATTCACATCAAGATTCATTTTCAATTCTCTTTATATACAGAAGATCAATTTAGTATATATTAAGTTAAGATTTCAACAGTTTGCACCCACACAGAAACACAAAGGGTACTAGTTATAGCATTAATTCACAATGTACAGTACATTAAGGACAGAGATCCTACATGAGGAGTAAGTGCACAGTGACTCCTGTTGTTGACTTAACAAATTGACACTCTTGTTTATGGCGTCAGTAATCACCCCAGACTCTTTTTTTTTTTTTTTTGACAGGCAGAGTGGACAGTGAGAGACAGAGAGACAGAGAGAAAGGTCTTCCTTTGCCGTTGGTTCACCCTCCAATGGCCACCGCGGCCGGCGTGCTGCAGCCCACGCACCGCACTGATCCGATGGCAGGATCCAGGTACTTATCCTGGTCTCCCATGGGGTGCAGGGCCCAAGGACTTGGGCCATCCTCCACTGCACTCCCTGGCCACAGCAGAGGGCTGGCCTGGAAGAGGGGCAATGGGACAGAATCTGGCACCCCGACCGGGACTAGAACCCGGTGTGCCGGCGCCACAAGGCGGAGGATTAGCCTAGTGAGCTGCGGCGCCGGCACCCTAGACTCTCGTCATGAGTTGCCAAGGTATAAATGATTCTTACGGATTTGCTACACATAGAAACTGAGAATGATCATCATCATTATGAAAGAGTGTGAAGGCAGAAAATCTCCTAGTCAAAGTACAAAGGAAATCCAAAGCAAACAATAGGAATATTTATGGAAAAATGGTAGGACCAAGTTGTGACTTATCAATAATAACCTTAAATGTAAATTATCTAAATTCTCTAATTAAAGGATACAGACTGGGTGAATGTATTAAAAATAAGACCCATCTATTTCCTGCCTATAAGAAACACATATCACCAACAAAGATACACACAAACTGAAAGTGAAAGGATAAAAAGAGATATTCCATGCTATTGAAAAGCAAAAAAGGCCAGGTGTAGCCATCCTAATATCAGACAAAATAGAGTTTAACACAAAAACTGTTAAATGATTAAGGGATCAAATCAACAGGAAGATGTGACTATCATAAATGTATGTGAACCTAATGTCAAGGTGCCTGGCTTTTTAAAACAAATGCTAGCAGATCTAAAGGGAGACATGGACTCCAATACAATAATAATGGAAGACTTTAACCCCCCACTTTCATCAATGGACAAAACAACTAAACAGAAAATCAACAAAGAAACAACAGAGCTAATCTACACTATGGACCAAATGGACTTAATTGATATCTACAGAACATTTCATCCCACAATTTTGGAATACACAGTCTTTTCATCAGTGATGGAACTTTCTCTAGGATAGACCATATGCTAGGCCATAAAGCAAGTCTCAAAAAATTCAATAAATAAATAAATAAAAACATACTATGCTACTCCCCATGTAGGATCTCTGTCCTTAATGTCTTGTACTATGTGAATTAACGGTAAAACTACTACTCAAACAGTACTCTATACTTTGTGTGTCTTCATGAGTGCAGTCTGTTGAAATCTTTACTTATTATATAAAAAGTTGATCTTCTGTATATAAAGATAATTGAAAATGAATTGTGATGAAGAATGGGATGGGAGAGGGAGTGGGAGATGGGATGGTTGAGGGTAGGAGGGAGGTTATGGGGGGAAAAGCCGCTATAATCCAAAAGTTGTACTTTGGAAATTTATATTTATTAAATAAAAGTTGAAAAAAATATACTATGTATATTTTCTGACCACAGTGGAATGAATCTTAAAATTAATAACTTAAACTCTAGGAAATATGCAAATACATGGAGACTGAACAACACACTCTTGAATAAACAGTGAGTTGCTGAAGATATCAAAATGAAAATCCAAAAGTTTCTGGAAATAAATGAAGATGACAACACAACATATCAAAACTTAGGAGAAACAGCAAAAGCAGTGTTAAGAGGGAAGTTTATAGCAATTAGTGCCTCCATCAAGAAATTGGAAATGCACCAAATAAATGAGCTATCAATGCATCTCAAGGACCTAAAAAAGCAATAACAAATCAAACTCAAAATTACTAGAAGGAAAGAAATAATTAAAATTAGAGCAGAAGTAAACAAAATTGAAACAAAAAAGGATCAGTGAAGAGCTAGCTTTTAGAAAAAATAAATAAAATAGATATACCACTGGTGCAACTAAACAACAAAAAGAGAGAGAAGACCCCAATCAATAAAATCAGAGATGAAAAAGGAGATATATCAATGGATACCACAGAAACAAAAAGAATCATCAAGAATTACTACAAACACCTATATGCCAAGAAATTGGAAAATTTAGAAGAAATGGATAGATTCCTGGACACATACAACCTACCAAAATTGAGATCATGATGACATAGAAAATTACATAGACCAATAACCAAGATGGAAACTAAGTCAGTAATAAAGAGCCTCCCAAAAAGTAAAACCCAGGACAAGATGATGTCACTGCTGAGGTCTACCAGACTTTTAAAGAAGAAATAATTCTAATTCTTATAGAACTATTTATAATAATTGAAAGGGATGGAATCCTCCCAGTCTCCTTCAGTGATGCCAGTATTATTTTAATTCCAAAACTAGAAAAAGATACAACAAAGAAAGAGAACTATAGGCCAATATCTCTGATGAACACAGATGTAAAAATCCTCAACAAAATACTAGCCAATCAAATCAAACAACACATCAGAAAGTTCATTCACCCAGACCAAGTGAGATTTATCCCTGGTATGCAGGGATGGTTCAACATATGCAAATCAATAAATATGATACATCAGATTAACAAATGGAAATATAAAAACCATATGATTATTTCAATAGATGCAGAAAATGTATTTGATAAAAAAAATAATATCTTTTCCTGATAAAAATCTTAGGCAAATTGGATATAGAAAGAGTGTTCCAGGCTGGCAAAGTGGCGTAATGGATAGAGTCACTGCCTGTAGTGTCATCATCCCATATGAGTGCCAGTTCAAGTCCCAGCTGCTCCTCTTCTGATCCAGCTCTCTGCTATGGCCTGGGAAAGCAGTACAAAATAGCCCAAGTCCTTAGGCCCCTGAACCCACATGGGAGACCTGGAAGAAGCTCCTGTCTCCTGGCTTCTGGCTTCAGATCAGCTCAGCTTTGGCCATTGTGGTCATTCGAAGAGTGATCCAGTGGCTAGAAGACCTTTCTCTATCTCTGCTTCTACCTCTCTGTAACTCTGCCTTTCAAATAAATAAATAAATATTTTTAAAAAGGAATGTTCCTCAACACAATCAAGGCGATATATGACAAACCAAAAGCAAAAGATGAATTCAGAAAATCAGACAAGGATGCCTAGTTTCACCTTTGCTATTCAATATAGCTCTGGAAGTTTAATCTAGAGCCATTAGGCAAGAAGAAGAAATCAAAGGAATACAAATTGGAAAGGAGGAAGTCAAATTATCCTTGTTTGCAGGTGACACGATTCTGTACACAGGGCAACTAAAAGACTACACTAAGAGATTCTTGGAACTCATAAAAGAGTTTGGTAAAGCTGCAGGATTTAAATTAAACACACAAAAATCAATAACCTTTATATACACAGAAAATGCCATGGCTAGAAATGAACTTGCAAGATCAGTCCCATTCACAATAGCTACCAAAAAAAACTTAAATATCTTGGAATAAATTTAACCAATGAAGTGAAAGATCTCTACAATGAAAATTATAAAACATTAAAGAAAGAAATAGAAAAATACACCAAAAAGTGGAAAAATCTTCCATGTACATGGGTTGAAAATTAATATCATCAAAATATCCACACTACCCAAAGCAATTTACAGATTCAATGCAATCTCAATCAAAATACCAACAACATTCTTCTCAGATCTAGGAAAAACAATGCTAAAATTCATGCAGAAACAAAAGAGACCCTGAACAACTAAGCAATTTTAAATAAAAACAAAACTGGAGGCATCTCAATACCAGACTTCAAGACATACTCAGGGCATTTATAATCAAAACATTCTGCTACTGGCACAAAAATAGACATGTAGACCAACAGACAGAATAGAAAACCCAGAAATTAGCCCACATGTCTACAACCAACTAATATTTGACAAATGAGTTAAAAATCAATTCCTGGAGAAAGGAGTCTCTTCAGTAAATGGTGTCTGAAAATTGGATCTACATACAAAGTATTAAACAAGACCCCTACCTTACACCTTACACAAAAATTCAATCAAAATGGATCAAGGATCTAAATCTACAACCTGATACCATGAAATTACTAAAGGAGAACATTGGGGAAACTCTACAAAACATTGGCATAGGTAAAAACTACTTGGGAAAGACCCCAGAAGCACAGACAATAAAGACAAAAATGGGTAAATGGGATTACATCAAGCTGAGAAACTTCTAGACTGCAAAAGAAACACTCAACAAAGGTAAGAAGCAACTGACATAATGAGAGAAAATATTCGTAAACTATGCAACTGACAAAGGATTAATAATCAGGATCTATGAAGAGCTCAAGAAACTAAGCAACAAAACAAACAATCCAGTTAAGAAAAGGGCAAAGGACACAAACAGGCAATTTTCAAAGAATGAAAGACAAACAGCCAACAGATTCATGACAAAAATGTGCAAGTTCAGTAGCCATCAGAGAAATGCAAATTAAAACCTCAATATGCAAATAAAAACCTCACCCCAATTAGAATGGCTATCATCCAAAAATCCAAAAACAATAATGTGCATAAAAGTATCCTAGTCAATTGTTCATGAGAATGTAAGCTAGTATAACCATTATGGAAGACAGTATAGGAGAGTCCTCACAGATCTGAAAACAGATCTTCCATATGACCCAGCCATGCCACTCCTGAGAATTTACCCAAATGAAATGAAATCAGCATATTGCAACTCCATATACAATAGTTCAGGCCAGCACCCATGGCTCACTTGGTTAATCCTCCACCTGCAGCACCGGCATCCCATATGGGCACTGGGTTCTAGTCCCAGGTGCTCCTCTTCCAGTCCAGCTCTCTGCTGTGGCCCAGGAAAGCAGTGGAGGATGGCCCAAGTGCTTGGGCCCTGCACCCGCTTGAGAGACCAGGAGGAAGCACCTGGCTCCTGGCTTCGGATTGGCACAGCACGCCAGCTGTAGTGGCCATTTTGGGAGTGAACCAATGGAAGGAAGACCTTTCTCTCTGTCTCTCTCACTGTCTAACTCTGCCTGTCAAATAATATACACACACACACACACACACACACACATATATACACACACAATAGCTAAGATACGGAATCAACCCAGAAGTCCATCAACTGATGATTGGATAAAGAAAATATGGTATGTGTATACTATGGAATACTACTCAACCATAAAAAGAATGAAATCCTGTCTTTTGCAACAAAATTGATGCAACTGGAAACATATGCTTAGTGAAATAAGTCAGTCTCAGACAAATATCGGGGCTCGCTGTGGCGTAGCAGGTAAAGCTGCCACCTGCAGTGCCGGTATCCCATATGGGTGCCAGTTGGAGACCTGGCTGCTCCACTTCCCATCCAGCTCTCTGCAATGGCTTCAGAAAGTAGTACACGATGGCCCAAGTGCTTGGGCCCCTGCACCCACATGGGAGACCCACAAGCTCCTGGCTCCTGGCTTCAAATCAGCACAGCTCTGGCTATTGTGACCAAGTGGGGAGTAAACCCGTGGATGGAAGATCTCTCCCTCTCTCTCTGCTTCTCTTTCTCTCTGTGTAACTCTTTCAAATAAATAAATAAACCTTTAAAAAGGAAGACAAATATCATATGTTTTCTCTACTCTGCCCACTGATACAACTTGCTTTCCAAAAAGACAATAAATCACTTACTTTAAGGTAAAAGGTTGAAAAATTGACCCTTTGGCAAAGAAATTTGATTTAACAGGGTACTGCAATCTCCATTTCCAATGCTGAAAATGCATCATCAATAGAAGGTCTTGGAGAAGGATAACTTTCTGGCATCCTTTAAATTAGACTCCTAAAAACAAGTTAGGGATAACAACCCATGCAAAGTTCATAAAATCACTTCAGTAGATAAAAAAGTTTAATTTTTAATAAAACTGAACAGAAGGAAACAAAAATACCACTTAGCGCATGAAGAAATATTGTATCTTAGAATTCTCCAAATTGTGTGCTAAAAACACTCTTTTCTTTATAAGTTACCTAGCTTCAGGTATTCTGCTACAGCAATAGGAAATGGACTAACACACTTCCAAATCCTGGCAAGATAAACCATGACTTCCTTCACCTTACCTTCTACCAGCTGGCCCATTTCTACCACATCAACCTATTCTCCTGCAGTTTATTCCACTTGCCTCCTGGCACACGCCTGCTTTCTGTATATCAAGTAGCAATGGTCATGACCTCGTCCTCTCTGCCCTTCAGCCTGAAATGAGCTCCTCATCCTCATTCACATGGCCTCTTATCAGTCTCCGAATCACAACATCCTTGAAGGCCCAGCTCGTTTCCCACAGTCTCTACACCAGTGCATAGATTCACTCACTGCCTCATATTCTCTTTCTCCCCAAGCCCTAAGTCATTATTTTTAATCTTTCATGAATCCACATCATTGGTGTTCTCATATTTTCAACTATTTCCTTTATTTTTATATTATCTTTTCAAGAAAAATGTAAGCTCCATAAAACAGGTATCTTTTAAGTTTTCTCATCATCCCCAACAAAAACCCTCAAAAAAGTTGACCTAATTGATGGATTTCTCTATAATGCACATGGATCCTAAGATCACTATAATAGTTGAAAATTGTCATTAATTTAAAGAAATTTTTATTTTAATATTACATTTATTTTTATCATCCATTAAATTTTTGTTTCTAATTTTAAAAAAATTAAATAGTTCTTATTCTTAAATCACTTGTGAACAATTAATTTTAAGTTTCCAACCAACTGTACTACTGCTACTAAAAATAAGCTTGCTTTGTTTCCCTTACTTTGTCACTCTCTGCAAGGAGTTACAATGAGAAAAAAATTTTTAAGTTATTGAAGCCGAATTCATAGGCATGTTCAAGGTAGAAGAAGTAGCTTTGTATGATAGTGTCTTCTCACTAAAGGGACTGAATCACAGGTTACATAATTAAAGAGGGAATTCAAACATGAGCTTGATGAACTTACCATTCCAACCTTGAAATCCTATGTTTCTAAATTCTTCTTGCTAAATAAATCAATTGTTACTTTTTCCACCCTCCCCCATTACCTCTGAAATATTTCCTTAAGTTAATTTTATGAAAATTATTTATTAGAATAACTATAATAAAATTCAAAGATTATGATAAATTTAAAAATAAGTAGTTCTTGCCCTGGAGTCGAAGGACGCCCAGGTCAGAGCCACAGATCTTGCTGGCTCTAAGCTGAAAAGCTCTTCACTCTGCCCAGCTTCCAAGGTGACCACTGCTGCTGAGGGGACAGCCAAGTAGGGTCAGTGACATTGCCAGCAGAACTGTACATTTCCTGTTAGAGATGCCACCTGCCTTTACCTGGCCAGCTCTCCTCCCAGGTCAGCTGGGTAATGGAAGTCAACAGGGTGCCTTCCCCAAGGAGGTTCACACCTCCCTTAGGATGCACCCCATGTGAAGAGATAGGTCTGGGCCTCATAACTGACAAAGCCTTAAAGCCCACCAGATTATTATCCAGCCCCTTCTGTCAGTCTCTATTTGCCTCTTAATCAGAAAACTCAGTCGTGGCTTAGAGAGCACCTTTCTTAGGTCCTTTAGTAATGACTCTGTCCTGTCTAGCCCACTTGGGGCCTCATTCCTTTGTAATCATGGCCTCTCTATTCTCATCCTGTCTTTCATACTATTGTATCTGCTTAAGTGTTTACAGGAGTTAATAATGGAACGAACCAAAGTCTTCAGCAACCAGGCGGTCAACCAAATGCTGCTACTGCTAGAGGGATATATTTGGCTCCCCACCCAGGAGACAGTGGCTGGAGACATCGCCCCATGCCAGAGAAGAGTACCTCATCGCCCCATGTCAGCAGGAAGTAGCTCTAAAGACAGATCATCCTCCCTCTACCCCTCCTGGACTTTTGGGACTAATGTAATCCCATACAACTCCTGCTTTATACAAAACAAAAGGGGGGAATGTTAGGAAAATGGCGCAGTCTTTTCTATGGTGTGATCTACACCCTGACACCATACTAGGCTCTATCCCCCACTGCCATGGCTGGAAGCCAGGTGGTCACATGGCCCAACCACTGGTGTCAAGTTCCACCCCATCCTAATGGGATTTGCTGCTCCTGTTTCCCTGCCCACCCCCTGGCAAAGTTTTAAAAGGACCTGCTCCTGAAAACATGTCTCTCTCTCTCTCTCTTCCACTCCATCTCCTGACCTCTGTCTCTGTCTCTGACTCTCTTACACTCTCCTTATCTCTCTTTCTCCTTCTTTGCCCCTTCTCTCCAGTCTGTTGGGTTTCCTCCAATAAACTCTTTAAAAAAAAAAAAAAAAGTAGTTCTGTAGTCCAACATTCCATGGATTACCTTCTGGGCTTTCAGGGAATTATTATGCATGTCATAATATTCATTAACATGATCTGGGTTTATTTATATTTTATACAAAATGAAGGGTTCTTCGCATTCCTAACATGTTAAGACTATGAATAGCCTGGAAAATGAGAACAGGGGATTCCTACAACAGAGACTGAGTTGAAAATACCATGAAGTTACTGTCTATATTTTCTACATACTTAACTCAAAAAGAAGAATCAGCACCACAATTATTAAGACAATAAGGATATCTGCTTTTACCTCTTCTATTTGACATTACAGTAAAGGTTTTAGCCACAGCAATTAAACAAACAAACAAAAAAAGAAATAAAAGGCATCCAGATTAGAAAGAAAACATGGGGCCGGCAGTGTGGTGCAGCAGTTTAAAGCTCTGGCCTGCAGCACCGGCATCCCATTTGGGCACAGTTGGAGATCCGGCTGCTGCACTTCTGATCCAGCTCTCTGCTATGGCCAGGGAAAGCAGTGGAAGATGGCCCAAGTGCTTGCACCCCTGCACCCATGTGGGAGACTGGAGGAAACTCCTGGCTCCTGGCTTCAGATCGGTGCAGTTCCAGCCAATTGGGGAGTGAACCATCAGATGGAAGACTTTCTCTCTCTCTCTCTCTCTCTCTCTCCCTGTCCTTCTCCTCTCTCTGTGTGTGTAACTCTTTCAGATAGATAAATAAATCTTTTTAAAAAATGAGACTGAAAAGGTTTTTAAAAAATAATAATTGCATTTGAAAGAGCATCAAAATGAGTAAAATACTTAGGAATAAATTAAGCAAAGTAAGTATAAGTAAAAACTACAAAATACCACTGGAAGAAATTAAATAAGTCCAAGTAAATGGAGAGATGCACCATGTTCATGAATCAGAAACTTCATATTGTTAATATGGAAACAGTCTACAAATTGATCTAGAAACCCAGTGAAATCTCTAAAATTTCCAGTTAGAGAGCGGGAGTTGTGGCATAATGAGTAAAGCCACCATCTTCAGTGCCGGCATCCCATATGGGTGCTGGTTCGTGTGTTGGCTGCTTCACTTCTGATCCAGCTCCCTGCTAATGTGCCAGGGAAAGCAGTGGAAAGTGCCCAAGTGCTTGGATCCCTGCACCCACATGGGAGACCTGGAAGAAGCTGCTGACTCCTGGCTTTAACCTGGCCCAGTTCCAGCCATTGCAGTCATTTGGGAGTGAACCAGCAGAAGAAAGCTCACTTGCCCTCTTTCTCTCTGTCTCTCTCTCACCCTCTCTCTCTCTCTTTCCTTCTCTCTCTCTCTTTCTCTTTTTCTCTCTAACATTGGCTTTCAAACAAATAAATAAATCTTTAAAAAGAACATTTGTTCTGTAAAGGACACTGTCTTCAAGTGAAAAGACAATCCACAAAATGGGAAAAAATCTCTAAATCACATGTCTGCTAAGAGTCTTGTATCCAGAATATATACAGAAGTCTTTTGATTCAACAATAAAAAGACAAAAAACATGATTTTAAAATGAGTAAAGTATTTAAATAGACATTTAACCAAAGAAGATTCATAAATGACCAGTTAGCATGCAAGAAGAATCAAGATTGTTAGCATATTGGAAATGCAAATCAAAGCCACAATCACTACATCATACCCAGTAGGATGGCTATAATAAAAGGACATTTCTTATGATTCTGGATTCGAGAAGTCCTGAATCAATGTGCTGGCATCTGGTGTGACTCTTCTTGCTGCATCATCCCATGGCAGAAGAGAGGTTGAGAGCAAGGAAGCAAGAGGGGGCAAAACTCATTGTTTTCATGTCACTCCCCCATTCGCGGAGGAACGACACTAGACCCTGCGCTGTTCTTTTGTCTGCCCGGCCCTTCCCGGGTTTGCTGCTGGTCTTTCCCGGGTTGGCTGCTGACCCCTCCACCTCCGTGGAGGGGCGGCACCCCCTGCCACTTTCCCCGCTTCCGCCGAGGAGCGGCACACCGCCGGCCAGCTCTCTCGGGGGCTGCTCAGGTGTTCCTTCAGATGTTCCCGGTGCATGTTGTCTCTGTCCTCCTTTATAGTCCTCTTCCACCAATCCCAACTCTGCTACCCACACGCCGAGCATGCTGCTCTCCTCCAATCAGGAGCAGGATCAGCTCCTGCAGCTTATCAAACTGATGAGGCAGCTGCGTAGTTGTTTGCTCCTCCCCAGCGCCATATTGTGGGAGAGCAGATGCATAGAATAAGTCTTTTTTTTTTTTTTTTTTTGACAGGCAGAGTGGACAGTGAGAGAGAGAGAGACAGAGAGAAAGGTCTTCCTTTGCCGTTGGTTCACCCTCCAATGGCCGCCGCGGCCGGCGCGCTGCGGCCGGCACACCGCGCTGATCCGATGGCAGGAGCCAGGAGCCAGGTGCCTTTCCTGGTCTCCCATGGGGTGCAGGGCCCAAGCACTTGGGCCATCCTCCACTGCACTCCCTGGCCACAGCAGAGGGCTGGCCTGGAAGAGGGGCAACCGGGACAGAATCCGGCGCCCCAACCAGGACTAGAACCCGGTGTGCCAGTGCCGCTAGGCGGAGGATTAGCCTATTGAGCCACGGTGCCGGCCAGAATAAGTCTTAATTCCAGTAACTTAGTCTAGTCTCAGTTGCTCCCCACATTTTCATAAGACTACTGCGATGATAACTAACTCACTCCAGCAAAAATGACACAAATCCACTTGTGAAAACAAAGCCCCACCTCCTAATATTTTTGCATTGGGGGTTAAGTTTCTGATAGATGAACTATTGTTATCATCTTTCATAAAAGTTTGCTCTCAATTGCTGCAATTGGTTTACTGTAGATATGGACTGGCACTGGTCAGGAGCCACCAATTTGGATAGCATTTTGTGTAGGAATATGTATTCTTTATGGGTGGGAGCATATTTTATTCACCTTTATATCTCCTCAGATAACATAATTGATTGCTGATTAAATTGAATCAGTCAACCTACATGCCAATGGCTGCTTCAGCAATAGATAATTCATATATGCAGAGCTCAGGCTTTAGAAACTGGCTGGGACCAGTGCTGTGGTGCAGAGGGTTAATGCCCTGGCCTGAAGCACATATGGGTGCCGGTTCTAGTCCTGGCTGCTCCTCTTCCAATCCAGCTCTCTGCTAAGGCCAGGGATAACAGTGGAAAGACAGCCCAAGTCCTTGGGCCCCTGCACCCACATGGGAGACCTGGAAGAAACTCCTGGCTCCTGGCTTTGGATCAGCACAGCTCCAGCCGTTGCAGCCATCTAGGGAGTGAACCAGAGGATGGAAGACCTTTCTCTCTGTCTCTGCCTCTCTCTATAACTCTGTCTTTCAAATAAATAAAATAAAATAAAAAAAGAAACTGGCTAACACCAGCTCAACTCCCAATCCACAGGAACTATGGGTTCATAAGAGCAACATTAATTATCTTCCACATTTACTGGTAATTATGCTTTTCTTTTCTTTCACACATTTATACCTTAAGCAGGGGACATTACTTACAAAATCAATAAAATATAATTGAAACAAAGGCCAAAATATGCAAAAGAATCATTTTAGCTCTAAAATGACTAAGAAGTTTAGTATTAAACTTTGATATACAATTCATAGATTATTTACAGAAAGTTTTCCTTACAGTAGAGTTATTTTTAAGGTAGAGATTAGGGAGGAATTTGAAAACTATTTTTTAAAGTTCACTTACCTGAAATGCTAGAGATTATACAAGTATCTGGAAACTAGGCTGGGGCACCATCACAGATGTCCTAATAGCTCCTTTTTATAGTTGCAAAGGACATGTAGAGCACTTATTTAAAATCTTTATAAACCAAATCCCATCAGCTCATCTCAGGAGGGGATTTCAGCTGAAAGGACTCAAGGAATACATCTTTTAGGTTTAGTGAAATTCTTAACTCTGAAGCTTGCAAAAACACAGTCCATTTACACGATCCCGTTTTTACTACTGTGAAATAAACAACAATTTATTGTGCTTGCTCCCCTTTAAAGAAGTGGAGCCATAACATACTAGGGGCAAAGGAGGTACCCAGCCTGGAGTGGGAGCCACAGCCATTAGGCCCAGATTTGAGCTATGGCCTCATGAATCCAAATGTCTGGCAACCAAGAATCAACTACCTGTTCACAGAAGTGTGCTCCTTCTCTTATTTGTTGGGGTTGAATTTTCTCTACTTCCTGAATGAACATAACAGTGAGATTATGAGTCTGGTCAATTTTAGACCCTCACATATTAACTTTTTTTAATTTGTTATTTATTTGAAAGGCAGAGAGAGAGAGAAAGAGATCAGTCTTGTATCCACTGGTTCACTTTCCCAAATATTCACAACACCCAGGGCTGGA